AAGGTCCTACAGGTGACAGTCAAAATGGTAAGGGTACTGCCTCCAATATGTTTCGTCGGGTCAGGCGATATCATGCCAGTAATGTATAACCTTGACGCGAGAAAATCCCCGGGCGAATATCCAAGAAGAGTTATTGAAATACCATGGGTGTTCGGTGTGTTTGTTGAGGCGAAGGATGGAAACCAATCGACCGGGAGATCGAGGGCGAGTGGAGGCGTAAGGGAGAAGAGAGAGGTTTTTTTTTTGTAATTTTGCTCAGACAACTTAAGCGGATTGTGATCGCGGTGTTAAGAGTGGATGTATTTTTTTCAGTAAGTGGTTTTGTTGGAAATAGGAGCGATGTGTAGTCATCGTGCATGAACGGTTTGGACTTGGTAAAAATTACTTATTATAGTGCTTGGGATTAAGTCAAGAATGCAAGGTTGATGTTTGAGCAAGTCGCTAACGTCACGCACGAGCTTGTGCCAAGTGGCCCGTACATACAGGGTGGTGCAAAAAGATTGAAACCCACTTTGGACAGCAATTTCACCTACTTGTTGAGCATATTTCAAAAATTCAATTGAATGGTATTAAAATTTTGATCTTTTTAACACAAGTGACGAAAACATGATTGCAAATGTATATTTTGTCTCTGAGATATGGCAGTTTAAAATTGTCATGTGCCAAACCTGTTTGTCCACGGACGGCTTTATTCCATCCGCTTGACTGAGCTCCGGAGCTTGATTTGAAGACAAAAAACCCCAAAAAACACTACACTAGATTTACACGTGGACAACAGTGATGGTACGAGTCTAGTCTGGTTCCCTTATCTGACAATTCCCCGACGCCCTGACGTCTGAATTGTCAGGTAAACGCCACAGGGTTAAAAATAAACATAATAGCCCTTTTTCAAAGCTCGGCTCCGTTTCTCCGATGCAGTTTGAAAAATTGCAGTCTATGAGATACGCTAGGACAAATTGCCAAACGCAAACATACATGCCCATAATTTGACCCTATCGACTGCACATTGCCCGAACAAAGCGCGAGTAATTCAATTTCACGTGCTCCCATGCATACAAGCACTGTGTGATTGATATTTCCTGCCGTTCGTTTTGAGCAGTATCACGCAGCAATTTCCACGCGACTCACGTACTCTTTGAATTTGCAACTTTTCAAACTGCACATTTTTTTATCAACCGTTGTCAGTCAGTGTTGGACAATGTACAGTCTTCGATAGCAAACGGGGTATGAAAATGTAGCTAACAACATTCCCCAAAGGTTTATATTAATGACGTAATCATAAGACGATCAGATTAAAAACTGTGACCCCTCCAATGAGTGTGGAATATTTATATACCCATTACATATGTGTATATACCCATTACATATGTGTGTGCCGTGTCCTACACCGCTTTATGGGGAAGTTTTTAATTGTTGGACAAATTAGGACCGAGATATGGGTAATTTCTGCTGTCCCCACAGCGTCGTGGGTGTCCACAAATATCTTGTACAGACGAGTGTATGTTCCCACAACTAGACGGCATGGTCATCCCACAGTCACTGTAACGTATGTGGAGTATTAATACGAGACTCTTGATTGGTCAAAAGTGATGGCACGTACATGTACACATTTAATGATTCATGACCATTCTATTCCTGGACGAATTTGCCGACGACAAACAGTTCGCCACTGATAGACTGGATTTTGTAATTTGATCTAGCCGCACTGCGTGCTGGGTGTAACGAAATAGCGGCGACTGATCACAAATATACAACTATCACAATTTGGCTGGGATTGTGTTCGTTATAACTTTGCGAGCAAATAGACAGAGCATGCATCAGGAGCTTCGATTCGAAACCCGATTCCTTGCGATTTATTGACCGAAGATGTTTCACGCGGATTTGGCATTATCCTCGACAAACATAGCGCCCCGTATTGAATTCAAACAGGTAGTCCCTTCCCCTAATTATTTTGTGTCTCGAGAGTCTGGATGTGGTGAGTCGTAAAAACATCTCCGCTTTGTGGCAAATAAACTCCGTGCCTTCGAGCTGTTGTCGAATCGTTTACAGACCAGAGATTCATTTTCTTCACGGCTTTCTTAACCCGAGGCCGTTTCTCCTTCTATTTTTACAATTCCATTGAAAAAAGAAATATCACTAACTTCTCAGTTTTCTTTCCGCCATCCCTTCAATTAATCGCTGAATAAATCCAGCCCCCTCGCAGCTCAAAAGCCGCGTAAATATTGACCGATAAATCATTCTCCTTTGGATAATAAAAAAGATAAATACGCGTGCAACATTTGCGGAATCTCATTTCACGCGATATTGCGCCGCTCAAAGGGGGAGACTCTCAAGCCAGCGGGCGGCCTGCGCGCGCGCCCTTGTCTGCTTGCCAAACCAATCCATTCAGATCTGGTGGCCCAGCGTGCTTTGCAACGCCCAAGACTATCACATTATTGCCTTTTGGTGTTCAATCTTTCACTGTCTGATACGAATTATTTTTGTGAGACCTACGCTGCCGCTGCTTCGATCTTCGAAAGCAGCGTGGGCCCAACTTCAAAGATCCTTTAATGAGCGAGACACGGCAATACCGCCTTTAATTGCGGGCTTTGTTTTACGTGTATACATGCAAACGCGGAATTGCCGGTAGAGCGCCCCAAGGTTGGAATTGCTTAGATTGTACGTCGTGTTGAGATCAATCTGTTCCAGAGAGGACGCACTTATTATGCATATCGTTCTATAATCACGCGAAGTCTACACTTCCGATTACAGGCTTGAAGTATGGGTGAATACGATGGGAGGATTTAAAAGAAGAGAAATTTTGTCAGCATAAGCTGATATGCTTCTATGCTCTTTTCTGAACTTTTCTAACTTTTCTATGGGCTCCGTGTACAAGTACCCCCTCAACGGTAAGAGCGGGAAAGTTGGGGAGACCATTGGGATGGACGTTCCCCCGACGCTCACGCGAAACGCTGTGGGCTTTGTGCATATATTCAGAGTAAAATAAGTCATGCATACTTCGCGTCATTAGCGCGTGAACCAGTACATGCAAGGTCGAAATTCGTTGGGTATGGGCGCCGTGCGCCAACGAAAGAGGGCAACGACGTCCCATGGGCGGGACATTTAGCTGGTTGGCGCGCACCATTCCTTGTACTTTGTGTGACGCACGTACACCAGGGGATTTGCGCTATGTACACGCTATGGTATGGCCGCGCGTCGCGGCAAAAATTGCAGACAGGCAAGATGGCGTCGGTCGGTCATCCCCAACTGTACTTTCTTTGCCGGTGAGGGAGTACTTGTGAACGGGGCGGATACTCGTTCGGAATGACTCCAGAAAGTATTTTCAATGGAAAACGTGTACATAAACGTTCGCCTGTCCGAAAGTACAATATTTAATGCACCCGAATCACTCTTGATACTTTTGTTGGGGTTTGGCTTCCACTCTGGAACTGCAGTCTGAAACTGCTGTAAAACTATACAAATCAAACAGGTTCTCACAGGACTGACATTAGAGCTTATAACGCTCGTAAAGTGTTGTTTTGTTCCATGTTCACTACAGCTACTTTATACATGTACTTACACTTGTTTGTCGTCTAACCTGTGGGCGTTTTGCCCTTTGCATAATTCACTTCGGGGAATGCCTAGCTACATAGTTCCTTTTACCGATATAAAAATCCGATAGTAGGCCCTTCTATTTAAAGACTGCGCTGGCCGGAAGGCCTGGATGTTTTTGATCAAATTTGCCATCGAATTGTGAGAATGTGAATGTGTTTACGAACTGGAACTCGATGCAGAAGATCTGGAGTGTGAGAGGGCAGCAGAGTGGCAGCAAAGAGTTTAATTGGGCTCTTGGTGGCAGCATTTACCCCACTTGTCCAAGGAAACTGTGGGCATGCGCAGAGCTGCTTTTGAATAGCGAAATCAAACAGCCTACCGCAACATCTCCCCTGCTGATTTCCTCTACTATGGACCATGTTAATATTAGATGTTGTGGTCACAGGATGCCAAGGGTTCTCTTTTGCGCTGCATGCATATCTCTTGAAATAGGAATGGCTTAAAAGTGTTGACGTGTACTGTTCAATGTTGGCCAAATAGCATGCAAAAGATGATTAAATGTTTTTGTTGTCCGCGCAGTTGCCTTTAAGTTATGACGTCACAGGGCACATGGTCTATAGGCAAGCGTGGACATCCGGGAGTTTCTTACATTGCCTGGTCTAGTTCCCAGACTCAGTTCCGTTCTTAAGTCTGGAGTGCTGAATGGTAACACATGTAGCAACCGTTGAAAACGCACGTGCTAATGTAAAGAAAGTGTTTGTTCGACTTGAAGAATTTCGGTCGAATTGTTTCCTATTACTTAGTTAAGATGTGACTGTAAGTCTTAAACATGGGGTTCCTGCAGGTGGGCGTCCCTTCCATTTTCTGGGACTATCTGTAGGTGTTCGAACCCTGACGGGCGGGCAACACGGTGCTGTCTCCTAGGGCGAGACACTTTACTGCAATTGACTCTATCCACCATGGAGTATAAATGGGTACCTGTGAGTAGAGACCAGACTGCGCTGATCTCGGCGGCAGAAAAGTGGTCCTGTGGCCTGTTGAACAGGGGTATAATTGCAAAGCGCTTTGAGACCTGCCTTTAGTATAAAAAAACCCCCCATTATATAAGCACCACACATTATTCTCTTCAATTATATGCTAGGGCGACACCGTGTACTGAACTTTTCCATATGAGGGAGCACAAACCAATAGGGTGACAATTTGGTGTTACCCTATTGCTGTAACTTCCATTTTGAGAAGGAATTTTTAGTCGCAAATAGCTTTAAAAGCTTAGTTGGGAAGAGAAACCCTCAAATATGGAGTCTCGTGGTAGGATAAGGTCAAATTGGGGTTAAGGAGCATTGAAATTTACGCACACGTCTATGGAAGTGTCGCCCTTTTATAGTATTCAGAAGAATTATCTTTTATTGGTAATATTATTATTATCATTTTCTTTACTAGGTTTGTCTTGTCTTGTTTTATTTTAGATTCGTTGGGATCTTCAATCCTTTAAGACCGCGCATGGGTAAAGGCACCTTATCTGTCATCCTGAGCGCCGTCTGGTTGTTCTCAGTGCTTATCACCATCCCCACCCCACTCTACACGGCTACTACCTCTGGTCTGGATTGCAAAGGTCAAACGGTGAGTTTACTCCATCCTTTATTCCCTTTACATAATGGACTCCGTGTACAAGTACCCCCTCAACGGTGACAAAAGAGAGACTTAAACAGCAAGGACAGATTTTGATGACGATTCCATATTCCAAATAGACACAATTTGTTCCCTATTTGCAGGGTGGTTCAAAATAAAGGAAATCCACATTCGACAGCAATTTTCACCTATTCCTTAACAATTATTTTAAACTTTTGATTAATAGGTATTCAAGTACTGGCCTTTAATCATAAGTGACGAAAAATCGTTGCAATTGCATATTTTGTATTGTATTGGGATAATATTGCACGTTGAATTGTTATTCAACTGATTTTTGAGCCTCACACTAAGACAATGGCTAGTGCTCTCTGAAAAGTCCCGGGCCAGACTGGAGTACAGGCATTCAGGCTCAGTTTTCAATTTTTGAGTCAAACAGTCCGGCAATTTGACCAAGAGACGAGTCAAATCTGAGCAGGGTCCGGGTCGAAACTACCCCGAGACTTTTTAGGGTGTGAGCATCACATTATTATTGTATTGGCATATTCCTCCCTACCCCGCCCGCAGGTCACATTCTGCAACGAGTTCTGGCACAACGCCACGGCAGGCAAAGTCTACATGGTCATCATCTCGGTCTTTGAGTTCGTCCTCCCCGCCATTGTCATGGGCGTCGTGTACATCAAGATCGCCGCCCAGCTCTGGTTCCACCGGCACCCGCCGGGCCACGAGACCCCACGCCACAGGGAGATCACCCTGGTCCGGAAACAGAAGATCATCCCCATGCTCATCACCGTGGTGGTGGCGTTCTTCCTGTGCTGGGCGCCTTACTACGCCTTCAACTTAGCCTGGCACTTCCACGCCACCAACTTGGCCGGCTTCGCCTTCCAGTACTCGCTCTACTACATCGTGGAGAGCGTGGCCATGCTGAACGCCGTCATCAGCACGGTCATCTACTTCATCATGTCTCCGGTCTTCCGGGAGGAGTTCTGGTGCCTGGTCTACCGGTGCTGGCCGGGCTGCCGCGGGGCCGGCGGCGGCCGGCGCGGACGGCGGAAGGGCTTCGCCAAGAACGGCAGCCAGCAGGCGACCAGGACCGGCAGCGGGTTCTCACAGACCATGAGGAACGGCCACTACTACGCCGTGCCTAAGACCACGGACACGGCAGAGGCACGCTTGTAAACTATGTAAATTTGTACATAAAATATGCACACACTGGCATAAATGTTAAAGTACTTTGAGAGTTATTGTATAAAGCACGCCCTCTGTTGAGTGAGGGTTTTAAAAACGATTTCTCGGCATAACTCGTGTCACGCAGGGAAATAGAGCAAATTATAATAGAGAATAATACATTTAAGGTTGCCTCCATATACAAATGTGTAAGGTATCTTGTAATCATAGTGTGCACGTATTTGGCCTGATCCAAACGTGCAGTCCTGGGCCAAGACTAGCAACTGGTGCAATGTCTTAGTGTTAAACAAAAGCACGCCCTCTGTAGACTGAGAAATATTACCGAGTTTTCAAAATGGCGACAACTCTGTTTGAGGCAGGGAAGTATGACATATTAATATTACATTTTAAGAAAATGTAGAAGTGATTTCTTTTTACTGTGTGATTCAGATTCTTTGATAATATTCATGTGATGGCCGCTATGCAGACGTATTAGTCCGAAGGTTTTCAGAAAAAATAATTGAAATTGGTTGATTATTCAGTTTACCTTTATGGTCGTTGTCTCCTTTGAAAAAAGTCCATATCCTACTTTGGCGAGATATTTTTGTCCATGAATACATGTATTTATTTCCAAAAAGATAATAGTGACAATCATATTTACATTGATCCCTAAAATTGAAAAAAAAAAATGGCTGACGATTTCTCGCTATGAGCCCTGAATATTCCCGTGCGGAATAGAACACTAGCAGATGTTGATGTGTTTTCCCTCGGGAATCAGCGGAACAATAAAAAAAAAAAGCAACCCATTTTCAGGTCATAATTTAATGCCATGTAGAATCTTCGGAAATTAAGTAAAACAGGGAATTTGGAACATCTGAAAAACGAGAATGAAGGGCAATCTAACCGCTTAAGATTAGCCGACCGTGAGCTCAAACACGCATCGGAAGGGATGACTAATTATCGTGGTAACATCAGCATCACGGACACGATCCGGGCAAAACGCACCTTTCCCTGCGGACCAGTTTTTCTTAAACGGGATGCTCGCTTTTAGTTTCTCCCGTTTCAAATGGAATTAAAGCCATCGATGCGGTGAATAGAATGATTTACGTTTGTGACCGTGTTCTCTACTTTTGGGCGGGATTCCTTTACCAACCCGATCTGTGCTTCTAGGCTAGTTTGTAAGCAAATTCTTAAAGAGGTTGTGGAATGCTCGAAGACATTTCCGTCATTTTTTGGGTATATGTAGCCTAAGGTGTGATGAAATAAAAACGACTATTGTTTCTGTCATGAAATGAGTACAAAGGGTACTTTTGAGAGCTATTTTTCAGGCCCTGTTTCTACCCGAACGTGCAATTTGTGTAAAAGTCGTCGTTGCGGGCAGCAAACAAAACACAGTAAATCGTGACGTAATAAACAGGACTCGTTTATGCTACTCTGCATCGGGAGTCCTGTTTATTACGTCACGATTTACTGTGTTTTGTTTGCTGCCCGCAACGACGACTTTTACACAAATTGCACGTTCGGGTCGAAACAGGCATGACAGGACTTGAAAAACAGCTCTCAAAAGTACCTTTTGTACTCATTTTATGACAGACACAATAGTTGTTTTTATTTCATCACACCTAATAGGCTACATATACCCGAAAAATGACGGAAATGTTTTCGAGCATTCCACAACCTCCTTAAGCGTCACCATAGACCTTTTGCTTAGCAGGTGTACATGTACAGCTACGATGGAGGACAGACACACAATGGGAGAACATAAGATCCTTTCAGTCCTTAAGCGTTGGGTCTTTTGTTGAAAACGGTCCTCAATTGTAGGGTTTTGTACTTAGTCTATGGGAGAGCGTTATATTACAGGGACAAAGGGAAACGCAAAGCATTGTCTTCGGGCGTATAGAAATTCACGACTGTGTGTCTCGGAGGGTGTTCTTTGTCATTTTAATTTGTAACAATGAATGTATATAAAATGTTTACTGATGCCTAGTCAAGCGATCTGAAACCGTTGCCCTCTATGTTCTATAGTGCAATGGTTGTACGTGTAAGTTTATACTTTGAATTATGAAGGTACATGTATTTACATTTTTCGGTGTGAATCGCAAGCTATACAGTACGGGGGGCCATGGCCTCCTCCAAAACGAACCCATTTTTTTTTTAAGTGACGTCGTAGAAAAAAGGCAGCCACCATCTTTTGCTTTAAAAAATTGTTAAAATGGTCAGAAATTGCCTCAGATCGCACAACAGAGCATCTAGAATCCAAACGAAATTCGCAGGCCCTGAATCCCACGCCTTCAAACTTTTGAATCAACTTTTTTGTCAAAATTTGTCTTGGCCCCCCAAAAATTGTGTACTGGATCCGCCCTTGTGTCCTTTTGACATAAGTATTTATTTTTTTGTCTTTAAATGTCCGTATAACGTCTGCGTTAAGAAACGGATTTTTTGTTTGTGCGAAGTGTTGCGGCCAGTAATTTTGGAACTCGGTGTGTTTGGACCACTTTTTTTCTCATCAAACGACAGATTCTTGGTATAGGAAATTTGGTGTATTGATGTTTCCTGCCAGTTGCGTTATGTAGCCGTTCTCTCAACAATTAATCGTCCATTGTAAAATTGATGTGATCTAATGTGTCCGTATAATTAAAATCAAAAGTGTAAATAATGTTAAAGTTGTGTACCATAACAATGTATATATCTATTGTACTATATTGTCTCATATTAAATTTATAATGAATGAGATTTTATATCGGAAGTTTGAAGGTAGTGGTATAACTTTTGAAGATTGGTTACCGTAGATTTGAAATAGGACACAGGTAAATTCTAAAAAAAATATATATGAGAAATAGATTTTGAAGGAATGATACAGAATTTAAAACAAAATGAGGGATTGGTTAACAGCGAAGTAAAAACACACAAATGAAATGTAACGGACGGGCATGCGAAAATGAGACAGAAAAGAGACAGGTTGCTGAACGAGCATTTACGAGAATTTACGAGAATCGACGAGAAAACGGATTATCCCGAATACGATTCCAGTTCAATATAGCATCTAAGGGGTCTAATGGTCCGGACCAGTTAATAGACTACCATAGACCCTAGTGGTAATTACGCGCACTTCCCAAAATCATTAAAAATACTCACAACTCTCTGAGGTGTTCAAGACACGCATTAAATTTAAGCTTATTTAATCATCTTTCATTCTCTGTTCAACTTGTTGGGGTATCCAATGACTATTGGGAGAAATTTTCATTCGATGCCTACGCTCCAAATTAATAACATTGCCAACCGTGTTTTGCCCAATGTATGACAACATATTAACTGCCGACACTCTTGGGTAAATTCTTCCCAATAGTTGGTAAATTTTTACTCGAATTAATAACATTGCCAACCGTGTTTTGCCCAATGTATGTCAACATATTAACTGCCGACACTCTTGTGCAAATTCTTCACAATAGTTGGTCAATTTTTACCCGAATTTATAACATTGCCAACCGTGTTTTACCCAATGCATGTCAACATGTTAACTGCCAACACTCTTGGGTAAATTCTTCCCAAAAGTGGGTCAATTTTACTTGCCAACCGTGTTTTGCCCAATGTCAACATTTTAATTGCCGACACTCTTGGGTAAGGCCCCGTGGATTAATTCCGATTTGCGTGCGCCCCCGTGCGCACGCGTGCGCACGCGTGCTCATGCGTGCTACCCCGTGCTGCACGGGTCTGCCCGCAATTGCGTGCCGTTGCGTGCCGTTGCGTGCCGTTGCGGGCAACTGCGTGCCATTGCGTGCTTATGCGGGCTATTGAGCACAGGCAAGGGTTGCTACACTAATCCCTAGATTAACGCTGACAAAAGAAATTGGGTAGCCGGCCAAGGCGGCACCAGACAAAGAGGTTGTGATAAATAATGAAAGGTTTGCGATGAAAGGGCTGGAGTTCCAATGACATAAAAGACGTTGGTGCCTGGCAGTGCCACAATGCATGGTGTCTGGATTACTCTTTTACGTGACATTACATGTACATGTACTACACTTTACGTAAGTAAGGCTAGGCTATTTTCATAGCTTTTTTTGCGTCGTTTGATTGAGCTCCGGACATATTATATTTATTTTTATTTTTCGTTGAGAGCTTCGGTTTTAATTGAAAGACACCGAACGTTCTTACTGTAAATATGAAAGACTGCTTTATTTATGTCATTATTCTTAATTTATATTAATCGGCATTTTTAAGAAAGTTCCACTCCATTATTCAAGTTAAACACCAATTATTGAAAGAGAAAGAATACACATCATCAAGTTCATTTTCATCATTCAACTTTATAGTCCTCCGATCAAAAGTCATGATAAGCACTGCTGTACATCAATCATAGGCCTGCACGTACGTATCGTCATGATATGTTGATAAAGTAATAGGCCTCATAATTGGGGCCGCGCCCATTGAGAGTCAAGTTGATTTTTTTGTTGCAATGGCGATGGGTATTTTATTTGCTGTAGGCCCATGCATGCACAATTGAAGTTGAATGTTTTGTTCGTTTCATTGTAACTGTTGTATCCATTTTCTCATTGACATAAAAAAAAATGTTATGTGCTCTCAAATTTTCAATTTTGAATTACACCGACCCCAAGTAAAATTTGCACTGACGACATTCCGGTACCCTGGCCGCGCGGATGCCAAATTTCAAAAGTAAATACATGTATCAGGTGTGTTTATGTTTATGAAGTTGATACTCCAATCAATCAAAGACTGTGACTCACATTTACATAATTAACAAGCAAACCGCGTAAAGATCGTGAGACTGTCATGGAGACATGATTCGTCGTCGGCCCCCCAAAAGTATTATTCACGTTCCCAGTGCCGGCCCGGCAAAATCAAGAGTATGTGTCCACGCATTATCCCTGTTTATAAAAACCACTACCGCGTGTCAGACAACGTCTGGCAATGGCCGATCCCGCTCCACACAACACGGAACATGCGTGCACGCGTTATTACTGTTAAATACCGCCAGCCAGACTACATGTAAGTCTGACACCACTTCCATCAGCGTACAATACCATGCGGGTGTAGACCAGTCTGGCTGCGTCTCGCCGTTTACAAAATTCTCTCATTTCGCTTCTGTACCCCGACCTTTAAAATTTCTTTGCGGCAAGGTGCGGCAAGCTTTTAATAATTTCTTTTGATACCACTGTTTTCAATAAAAGTCTGCACTTAGTTCTGGGTACGAGTGTACCAGTCCGTACCATTTTTATTTATAAAGTTATGATAAAGACAGTTCGATTTTTCAAGTAGATTTTAATTCTACACGGTGTTTTAAATGAAAGTACCGGCTCACGCGGTAATGTTTGGGGCATTTCCTGTCCTTTCCTTGGCACTTTTATCATTTCGTTAAAATTTCCTGTCTTTTTGGAACGCGTGTAATTATTGGTACCACCAGAGTAGATGAGTCATGCTTGGCCCTGCCAAGTGTTTACAATTAACTAATGAGCGGATTAAGGGACACAATGGCTAAAGTCCAAGACGATGTCTATTGTGCATTTCTGCGGTTTGTTTGTAATGTTGTACCGCCTGGCACTGAGCCCGTTTGCGTGCCACTGCGTGCAAGTCCGTGCCAATGCGTGCCGATGCGTGCCGATGCGGGCCAGTGGGTTCAAAATCTCCTTTGTTCGAGCTTGCCTGCGTGCGCACGCGTGCGCACGGGGGCGCACGGGGGCGCACGCAAATCGGAATTAATCCACGGGGCCTAAATTCTTCACTATAGTTAATTAATTATTAACCAATTTAATAACACTGCCAACCGTGTTTTGCCCAATGTATGTCAACATATTAACTGCCGACACTCTTGGGTAAATTCTTCCCAATATAGTTGGTAAATTTTTACCCGAATTAATAACATTGCCAACCGTGTTTTGCCCAATGTGTGTCAACACGTTAACTGCCGACACTCTTCGGCAAATTGTTCCCTATAGTTGGTCAATTTTACTCGAATTAATGTCATTGCCCAACCGTGTTTTGCCCAGTGTATGTCAACATATTAACTGCCGACACTCTTGGGCAAATTCTTCCCTATAGTTCAATTTGTACCCGAATTAACCCATTAATGAGGTAACTTTATACCAGTGGTGGGCAAATATAATTGCCAACCGTGTTTTACCCAAGGTTTCTTTTTACAGTGTACAATACGTGATGGTACATTTGTTGGGGTTATTAATGATTTCTCCGGCTTTTTTCCCTCATGAGGTGTATTGTACAATACGAGAT